TTTCCAAAATAAAGAAGGACCACCACCAGGTGAGAAATACAAGTGGAAAAAGCTTTGTGCCTGCCTGCGTTGGAACGGATACGCAGGATGGACGCAAGGATGTAGAAGTAGGAGATGACCACAAAAAGGAAGGGACCCAATCCCACAAACACAGTGGCTATGTGGATTGCTATCTCACTGACAAATTTGTCACCACAGGCAATTTTCAACAGCGGTGGAAGATCACAGAAGATGTGGTGGATCTGATTATCTCCACAGAAATGGAAGCTGGAAGCCAAGGCTGTGTGAACTGCTGCATCCAGAAAGCCACAGATCCAGGCAATAATGACTGCTGTCACGCAAACATATGAACTAATGAGTTGTGAATAGCGCAAAGGATGACAGATGGCGGCGTAGCGGTCATAAGCCATGATGGCCAGCAACCAGCATTCTGAGCTTGTGAATCCTAACAAGAAGAACATCTGGGCCAAGCAGTGGTTGTAGGAAATGGTGTGCCTTTGGAGAAGGAGATTTGAAAGGATCTTGGGGACCGTGACTGTTGAGTAGCAGACATCCAAACAGGATAAGTGGCTGAGGAAAAAATACATGGGACTGTGAAGATGGGAGTCCACTAGGATGAGGGAGATGATCATGAAGTTGCCCAGAATGGTGACCAAGTAGATGATGAGGAACAGCAGGATAAGATAGACTTGGCCATGTATGATTTTGGAGAAACCTAGAAAAACAAACTCAGTAACTAGAGTCTGGTTGCCAGTACCCATGGGAAAACAGGGATTATGTGTCACAAATGTCTTAAGGACACAAAATTTAGATTTTTCTTATTTCTACATAAATATCTCTTGGCCAATATTAGATCTGGAATCTTCAGGTTTTGTAGTGTAAGAAAGAGATGGTAACTATTGGTAAAAATGCTAAGAGGTCCACCTTTATTACTTTTGCTTCTATCAGTTGAAGGGTTTCCACTTTCAGATAATCTGTTCTGATGGTTCAGAGTCCAGCTAATGCCAACATTAAAGACAGTTTTGCCTTTCTTGCAACTTTGGAAATGATCTTTCTTTTGGTAAAATCCCACGAGTAGAAGCGGCGTGATCTAGTGGGAGAAAAATGGAAGACAAATATTTAAACAACATAATTATTATTTATTAGAAATCATGAGGTTAGATCTACCTCATGGTCACATCAAAGATGAAAACACAATGGAAAACCTTGTTGTTGCAGTCTATGGGGCATGACCCCCTCCGTTCAGATACCAGGTGCTCCACATGGGTTGTAGGAATAACTGAGAAGCTTACCTTAAAGTTTTGGGTCATAAGAACAAGAAAAGGGGTTTCATGGATTGTTGCAGAATGTGGAGAGGAGAGGAGTCCACCAGCATTGGACAGAAGATCATGGCCTAGGCTGAGAATTAGATATCTTCTTTTGGAAGCTTTTCTTTTGAGGTTGAGATGTATGTTCTGTCTTGGAGATATGGTAATCTTTTTGAGGTTGGAGATAATTTTGAGACTGTGGGGCAGCTAACGTGATGCAGACTTTGTATAGTTGCTTGGGGTGTAGGAAAAATAGACCCAACTATCTAAGGTTTCCAGTATCACAACCGAGGTGGACTAGGAGGGGGAAGCCTATTCTGACTCTGGCTTAAAACTATCACTTTAAACCTGGTTTATACATGTTTATACAATCCTTGGCCAAGGGAGGTTATTCTGTCACCAGAAAGCATGTGTAAATGTTATACTTGAGAAACACAAGTTATTTTGATTACCAGCTGCAGCCATGTGGGCAGTGATGCATCAAGTGGACTGTGTTAAAAAATAACTTAATGGAATGGAATGGACTAGAATAGAATAGAATAGAATAGAATAATTGGAAGGGACCTTGGAGGTCTTCTAGTCCAACCCCCTGCTCAGGCAAGAAACCCTATACCATTTCAGATAAATGGTTGTCCAATCTCTTCTTAAAAACCTCCAGTGTTGGAGCATTCACAACTTTTGGAGGCAACTAAAACTTCATGGAACTAAAACTAAACAGCAATTACTGGGTTGAATCTTGCATTCAAGATCACATGAAGTGTTAATACTACTTTATAATGCTTCGGTAAGGCCACACTTGGAATATTGCATACAGTTTAGGATGCCACAATGTAAAAAAGATGTTGAGACTCTAAAAAGAGTACAGAGAAGAGCAACAAAGATGATTAGGGGACTGGAGGCTAAAACATACAAATAACAGTCGCAGGAATTGGGTATGTCCAGTTTAATGAAAAGAAGGACTAGGGGGGACATGATACCAGTATTTCAATATTTGAGGGGCTGCCACAAAGAAGAGGGTGTTCATTTATTCTCCAAAGCACCTGAAGGCAGGACAAGAAGCAACGGATGGAAACTAATCAAAGAGAGAAGCAACTCAGAAATAAGGAGAAATTTCCTGTGAGAACAGTGGAACAACTTGCCTCCAGGAGTTGTGAATGCTCCAACACTGGAAGTTTTTAAACACAGAGACTGGACAATCATTTGTCTGAAATGGTATAGGGTTTCCTGCCTGAGCAGTGGGTTGGACTAGAAGATCTCCAAGGTCCCTTCCAACTCTGTTATTCTGGAAAAAACACAGAAAGGGTGCCGAATGGACCATAAAGCGACTCACCTTTGCTGCAGAAGACCAAGCTGGGGCTGAAGGAGAATCACTGTCTCTCCATGTTCTCCCACACTTGGATCCTCACACAATGAGATGTGAGGTGACTTGGTCAAAACTCTGCCCACACAGCAGGAAGGGAGAGGATCAGAAGCTCATTCTTTCTCACAACAGAAGCATCACTCCTGATTCTTGAATTGTCCAAGGCAGGGAGTGGTCATGAAATAAAATGTGTGTACCCTTGGTGTGTGTACCCTGGGGACATTCCTGCCTGGGATTCTGTAGGGGGTAGAGCTGGGAGGAATAGCAGCCGAGACACTCTGGGGCAAAATGTTCTCACCTGGAACTTACCAACCAGCTCTAGCTAGACTCTAGGCAGATCTAGGAGTTTAAAAATGGAATAAAAATCAGAGCAATCCAAGATGGCGAAGAACACAAAACCCAAGATAATCACAAGGAAAAAATGCTATTTACGTGTGTATTTTCGTTGCGTCATATTGTGGGGACCATCCAGAGAAAAGAAATATTTTTGGGAATATTAAAAAGGCAGAATATATTTCCCCAAAGGAATAATGGAGAAGATCTTTAAAAAGGCAGAAACTTCTCCACACAGACACACGCACACACCCAGCAAGACAACTCAGCAGAAACCAGCTTTTAGAAATGCAGATGTAATAACCCATTCAGGAAGGTTAGAGCCCTCCAGCTAGAAGCTAAATAGATCAGGAAGGCAAAGACCCTTAAAATCTACATACCCCACCCAAACTCTAAGACAGGACACAATAGGATTAACCCACCACTGTCAGAATACCAGAAAGGCACACTCAGACTCAGATTAAAGTTCATGACACGGGAACAACTCCAAACAAAAGCCCAGGAAGGTATAAAAACCCACTCCCTACTACATGTGCTCTCTTTTCTTCCAGAGACATCTTCCTGTCTGGCTCTCTTCTTCAATAAACGACAACCTTCTTTCTAAAGCAGTCGCCATGTTGTTTATTCCCTGCTTGGACTGGACCCTGATGAAGACTTTTCTTTCAACAGTATACTATAAACTAATAAAACTTTATACAGAGATAAAAGAAAAGTGGTGGTGTTACCCAATCACCCCCAAAGGGCCTCCACAAAAATCATGTTTTCACTCGCTTCTGGAGGGCTGCAATGGTTGGAGGGGGCATCAGCACTTCAGGGGGGAAGCAATTTCAGATGGGTCTTCTAGCCTCTAACACAGGGGTCCTCAACCTGGGCCACTTTAAGACTTGTGGACTTCAACTCCCAGAATTCCTCAGCCAGCTTTGCTGGCTGAGGAATTCTGGGAGTTGAAGTCCACAAGTCTTAAAGTGGCCCAGGTTGAGGACCCCTGCTCTAACGCACCTAGTCCGATGCCCTGTCCTGTGTCCTACCCTTGCAAGGAAAGGACCCTGGGGAGGGCAAAGGGGGCCAATGAATCTCTGGGCAGAGGCTGAAGAGAAGAAGTAGTGATGAAGGAGCAGAATCCGATGGGTGGGGAGACACGGGTGAAGGATTTCCCCCACCGTGGTTGTAATGCTGTATCTCCAAGTGCAGAAACAGCACCATCCTTGACTCTTGCATTCAGAAATGACATGAGGAGATGCAACGGAAGGCACGGCTCACCTTGAGGAAATGGGAGAGGAGATGCTGAATAGGAAACCATCAGAGAAGAGGGGGACAAGCCCCAGTCACCTAATGGTTAGAGGAAGACGCTTAGAAGGGACTCGCCCTAACGGATCAAGCAGTTACAAATGGAGGCCAGGAAGCTTTGCTCACCATGCTACAAAAAAGAGGTTGAGAGTTTGGGAAAAGTGCAGAGAAGAGCAACTAAGATGATCCAAGGCCTGGAGACTAAAACATACGAAGAACGGCTGTAGGACTTGGGTTTGGCTAGTCTAGAGAAAAGAAGAAATAGGGGAGACATGATAGCAGTGTTCCAGTATTTGAGGGGCTGCCACAAAGAAGGGGGGGTTCACATTATTTACTAAAGCACCAGAGGGCAGGACAAGAAACAATGGTTGGAAACTGACCAAAGAGAGAAGCAACATGGAATTAAGGAGAAACTTCCTAATAGTGAGGACAATTAATCAGTGGAACAGCTTGCCTCTAGAAATTGTGGGCGCTCCATCACTGGAGATTTTTAAAAAGAGATTGGACAGTCACTTGTCTGAGATGGCATAGGTTCTCCTACTTGAGGAGGGGGCTGGACTAGAAGACCTCCAAGGTCCCTTCCAGCTCTACTCTATTCTAAAAAGTTTGTACTTGCAAGATTCCATTAATGTTGCCTTACTATAAAGTGGTTTTAGGTCATCTAGGTCAGTTGTGTTTCCTGTTTGGTTTACCTGGGAAGCCAAATAGTACCCATAGTTGGTGCTTCTTGTCTGGACTATCCCAAAAGGCTGACATCAATACTTAAATAAGGATGAGAATACATTTTTCAAAGTGGATGTTTAATAAAAAAATTATTAAGGAAGAAAGTTTAGACCTGTGCATGTGAGAAAGAGAAGTCACTGTAATGAATCCCTCGGGGTATTCTGGAAAATGAGTCTGCGGGTCATTAATTGATTGCTGCTTCGTAGCAAAACAGAGATGATGAAATTCCTTGCATTTGTTATAAATGGATTGTGATGATGGAGAATTGGATTGGACCCCTTGTGCTGTGCTTGGTTGGGCACACAAACCCATAATGAGGTCCCTTAACTCTCATGTCATCATCCCAGAAAGTTGAGCCAATTACCGTAGCTAACTCTCTCTCGTCAATGCTGGTTATTCCCACCAGCAGCCCCTTCTCCTGTGAGCTGGTCCAGGGAGACCGGCCCCCGTTCTTGGGCACAGAGTCGAGCCCCAGAGTGGTAAAAGTTTCAACTCTGTTTTCAGAGTTGAAAGTTGCACTCTGTGGCAAAGTGGATAACAGAATTTCAGAGTTGGAAGGGACCTTGGAGGTCTTCTAGTCCAACCCACTGCTCAAGCAGGAAACCCTATACCATTTCAGGCAAATGGTTGTCCAATCTATTCTTAAAACATCCAATGAGGGAGCATCCACAGCTTCTGTAGGCAGGTTGTTCCACTGATTATTTGTTCTCACTGTCAGGAAATTTCTCCTTAGTTCCAGGTTGCTTCTCTC